TTTGGCCCAGTTGGTGCCAATGCAGTCTTTTCCAAGACTACTGATCTGTGGGATTTTCTTTGACCAGTTTTAGTACATTTTAAAACTTTAATTTCATAGGTTTTGAGTCCAAATTACTGCAAGAGATCCCAGTTATGCCAAGATTTACTATGAAAAAGGAGCCAGATTTTTATTTTTGTCTTCTGGGGAAGTTTATGGTAGAGTGAGATAAATATGCAAAATAGTTAAGGTTGTTTATCCTGCATCACTAAGAAGACATTCTTGACATCATTTGTATATAACTGAGCAGAGGAGCCGCTCAATCTGTGCTGACAGAAATCCAACCCAGATCACCCAGCCTCAGGGTATACAGACCTCACTTCAGTATGATAAAATCTGCTTCTGTTGGGATAAAACCTGAACTCACACAGATCCTCTTGTCACAAAACAAATTTTGGTGCATAAAGGCTCCTCCTCCAGTTACATTCCTTCCAGGGACGCAGTCATAATTTCAGGACACTTTACCTCAGCCTCACATATTTTTGTAGTATCTTGGGGCTTGCAAGGGGGAATGAATATTACAAAACAATCTGGTGCCGTTCTTCTAAAATGTAAAGTGTAATGACTTTAATATTGGCCCCAAATCTGCAAGTCTTAGATCTGCCAGCAGGTAACTCAATCCACACAGTATCTTTCAATCAATACAGAAATTATTCTTTTTTGACTCTACAGTATAGTGATGTCTGCCTGAAAGTCACCCCTCCGACAGTAGGAGGAGGGAGACATGCTGAATGTAAAGAGATTGGAAAGGCATTTATCTGAAAACACTGGAAGTACCAGACTTGCAGTTGACTAGGGAAGAAGCTAATAAGGAGTCTTGGCTGCATTGATCAACGGTGCTGAAATCCACTTTGCCCTTTACCTATGTAGCAGGCTCCTAGGTTTGATAGTATATATGCTGCTCTTTGCATGAGTATTGATTACAGAGGCTGTTCCATGTACAAAAAGGTTGATGTGCACTTTAAAAGCTGCTCTAATCCCATTCAGCAGGAACTAAGCTCATGAATGTGCATTTTCTTTCCTCTGATTCTTATTTCATGCACCCATTAGCAACAGCCACTCATTGCAGCAAAAGTATCTGTGATTTGCAGTGCAGGATGAGTTCTTTGCTGGTAGATATGCTACTAGCAAACTGGTAGAGGAACTTAGTAAGTCTTATACTGGAGTCAAGGAAAGCTTAAGCATGACTCACTTAGGAATGCTTTGTCTTCCCCTAATTGCATAATTACCTTAGAGAGCTCGCTGGCCATTTGGCATAGAGGTCATGCCTGTTTCCTCTGAGCACAGGAATAACTCCTCCTAGCTTCTCCTAACAGGATAAAAAGGGGATGTGAGGAAGACATATGGCCATGGCCCCGCTTTTCCTCTATATAATCCAGGAGCAGTATTTGTGCACAACAACAAAGTCCTTCATTCTCTGAAATGAGGATGGGAAAGTTCACCATTATATAACATAAATCAGCACTTTCACCTTTGCATGGAGATAGTATCTGTATTGAAAGTGGCAGTGTGATATTCCAGTGTCTTTGGTACTGGTACTTGTAACATCTGTGTTCTAATAAATGGAATTAAAAAAGAATAATGAGTGTCCCACAAGAGCAGCAATCTTTCCCACTATACTCATATGCTATAGAGTTAGCCTGACTGCCAAGCAAAAAAACCAGAGATCTCCCCAACACCTTGTTCTTACAAGCAATAAATCAAAAAAAAAAAAAGATATGGCCAAAGTAAATGCTATCAACAACTACAATCATGCTAAGCAGATGGCAAGCAAAGGAAAGGGACCTTAATATTACATGAGAAAAATGGAAAATTAATTTGCTAGTTACACTAGCAGAATTAAAGGAAAGTTTTGCTGGAGAATTCTCCTGGACCTCTAGAAAATTCAACAGTACAGTTTTCAGGGCTCACCCCATGTACAGAACTGATTAAGTAAGTCTGCAAGATGCAAAAAAAGGAGAAAGATATAATTGAACAATATGGATCGCTGAGGCAAAGATGTTAAAGTACTGCTATCTTTAGTCCCCTGGATGAACTCTTGTTCTGGAGAATGGCTGGAATTTGTGGTCCCTCTTCTTAACCTTTTTATTGATGTTATCCAACATTACATTTGGAAGCTAGATTTCTCCTTTGCAGATTGGTGATGGCATCACTATGCAGTCAAACTTTCATCCAGCTTTCCCTTTCATTACTTCTATGAATTCTCTATCCTTCCTTGCGCACTGATGCACCTTCCATTCAAACCAACTAAAGCAAATCTTTTCCCGTTCCCCTTATAGCCCAGCAGCTAATACTCCTTAACTTATAATGGGGTATATACCCACTGGGCTTATGAATGAAAATACTTGCATCTGCTATACTTCATGCTGATCCTGATGCTGCCAGTGTGTTTTAGACATGCACACAGCCTGCCTGGATGGCCCTTCAAGAGTTACAGAGGGATGTGAATACAAGTGGTCTGATGCATCTGCTGGTGTAAGCTTCGGTGTCCATGCGCTTCTTAGCTTTGTGCTGGGTTGCAAAGAGTGTTTAAGATTACTCATTTGTTTTGCAGCTCATGATGGTTACTTAAGTCTTTCCTTCTTTTTTATCAGTCTCTTTTTCAATGGTGGGAAGCAGTGCAGTTAAATGTCGAATAAGGCTGCATTAGGTTCCCCTTTCTGTGATAAACCTCTACTTAGTAGGTTCCCAAAGTGAAAGTTTTTGCAAGAGAAAACAGCTGGAGGACACATCCAAGCCTGGTTCTGGTGAGTGGAGCTGTTCTTCTGATATAAATGGTGCATTACTCTAAAGTAAGAGAAATGCTAGGAGGAGAGAAAGGAAAATGAAGTATCTTGATTCCTAAGTTGAGAGAGAACTTGTCAGCAGTTTATCAAATCAAAGGCTAATATCCAAGACTCATTCTGTTCTCACAGATATATATCTCAAGTATGGACTTCATTAGAGTACATCTAACTTAACCTAGCTGACTTCAGAGGAAAGTCAGGCTATGGGTCCCAACTGCTTTTGTTATCAAACAAAAAACAGGTGACACCTCTGTTCTTTTCATGATTTTTTGAATAATTTTCCTGGAGAGCTAAGGAGTTAGCATGCCATAGTGCTGGTAGCTGCCCCTGGGATCAAGGCACACTATACAGAATCTATAATAAAACTTCTTGCATTGGGATGGCGGCAGAGGAAACTATACAGAAAATGCAGTCCAGGAAAGAGTTCTTAGAAGATGAAGTAGGGATTAAGCCAGAGCCTATTTTACCATTTGCTAAAACACTCAGTGCATTTGCCTTCATGGGTTCTGCATTCCAGAGGACTGCATGCTGTGTTAATAAAATTCGCCTCTTGAACAGGCTTTGGAAACTCACACAGCCATTGACTGCCCATATGGCAGAATTGGGCTGTTGCTATCAGACAGCTGCAGGGAACTGAGGACAAGAAAGGGGAGACAGCACCAAAATCTTATGGATATATAGACGTATAGAGAGACATAGGGCTTTTCCTCATGGCACGAGCTTCCAAAACACGTTCCCCATCAAAATGCCAGGATCCTCTTTTATTTTTTCTTTCAGGAACTGTAATTTGCACTTCTGCTTTTTGTAGGTGATACATATGTGATTTATGTATGTGATTTAAACCCTCATACACCCTGACCTTAAGCTGCAGGAACATTTTAAAACAATTAGCACACCTACAAGAAAAACAGCAAATCACCACATTTCTGTTGCTCACAAACTTAAAGAGAGATTGAGTTTAGTGCTCTTCCTAGCTCAAGAAATTGCATGCTCCCCAGTAACCCAATGCCAAACCACTGCTCTCAGTTTTGAGTAGCAAATGCCATTCTTATTGCATCTAAAAACTCAGAATCTGTTTCTTTTCTTAATACGAAATTGCGTATTTTGGTACTGCTCTCAAACAAGTTTAACAGAACAAAGGAGTTATCTTTATGAGACAGCCAGGGAAACACACAAAGAACAGGAAAATGTAGCTAATCTAAATAATGACATTGAAAACAAAACAGCTATTGGGCTATAAATAAACAATATGAAGTAAATTTCATCATTTATATTAAGAGAAGACACAGACTTAATTCCTGGGTATAATGCCATCTGCTATTTCCTCAGACTTTAGTTCTTATTTTTTCAGTCAAGCCACAAAGTAGCATTTCCTACTTTCTTCAACTTTTTACAGTATGAACTTTTATACCACTTTGGAGAAAATTGCAAAACTCAGACATGCATGGAGAGAAAGATCGGATTTTCTAAAACAATAATATTGCCCAGATTGTTAGTTTTTGAACTGCACAAATACAGGCATTCTTACAGGGCAGGGAGGTAAACATATACATGACTGCATTAATTAAGACAATACTTCGTTTCCTGCAACACAAAAGAATTTTCTTAATTTAGACTCAGTTTTTAATTATGCAGTCTCCCACTGTGTGCATGTGGGTGTGCAAAGCAGCAACTGCAATTTAACCAAAAAAAAAAAGAAAAAAAAAAAAGAAAAAAAGCAGAGACTGGTCCTGACCTGGTTGGTGAATGGAGAAGGAATTAAATAATCCTCTAAAACCAAAGCCAGAATCAACTTTCTGAGCGCCAAGCTCAGCCAGCCCAGCCATCTCACTTTCAGTAACACACTGCTAAACGACCTGAGCAGAAGCCTGATTCACGTGACTTTTTTTCCTGGGGATGGTCTTGTTGAGAGTATCCTGGGCAGGAAACTGGTGTGATCTGTTGACTCACAAGATTTAAAATAAGCACTCGCGTTTCCCCCCTCCCAACCCTGACCCGCAGCCCTGCCCTGAATCACTTCCCCGGTGGAGGCGAGAACTGTGCGCCAGCAAAGCGCTCGCAAAGTGGCCGAGTGGTCGGCAAATGCTCTCGGGCTGTCACACAGCCAGCAAACCTCACGTCCAACACCGGCACAACATCAGGACACGGCACCGGTCCCCGTCCCTCAGGCTTTACCTGCTGGCGGGTGAATGGCTGGGAGGGATATCCTGTAGAAAGCTCTGCTCCATGGCCGGTATCCTGGCCGGGCTGTGGGGATGGTAGGCTGTGAGGACTACGCTGCCCGAGTCCTTCATCTCCATGGTCATAGGCACATGTCGGCCCCGCTGCTGGTGACAGAAGCGACAGGGCTGTGCTGACGGGCCCCGACGGAAGGGCGAGCGAACCTGTCAGGACCACCAGCCTGACTCTGCAGCAGCCGCTCGCCACTGTCGGCTGTCAGGAGAGCTGTGTAACTGAGACACCGCTCCTCTCCCTGTCAGGAAAGCTGAATTAGCATATATTCAAAAACACCGCCCACAAAACAACCCACGGGGAAGTTACTACGTTCCTAGGAAACTGGAAACCTGAGATAATCCTGTACGGCACTGAGTGACTGCCCAGAAAACTTCTTGTTTGCGTTTTTTTCTTGTTTCCTTTTAACAGCAAATTTCTTAATACTCATCCTGCTTCTGAAACAGTCTTGTGTAAGTCAAACTATTTGTTGGTTATGCAGCCAGATGAGTGGAGAGCACTACTCAAACACAAAACATAGTTTGGTAGAGCAGGGAGTCTCAGAGGAGAGATTCAGAAACCAAGTGGGCTCTACTAGGTTTAAATCATCAAGGAGCAGAAGCTGTGATTTCCTGTGTGCCGGATCATTCTGTAGCAGGGAATCAAAATTGTTCTCTTCTGAAGCCAGATTAAGCGTTTTAGCTAGATTCTCCCTGACATGGCTGTGTACATTACTAGAAAGGCACTGGGAAATGAGTGAATTATTTTTATAATGGTCTATGTTCATCTGGAACAATCCCGTAAATAAATACACACCGAGATGCTCAATATCTTTTCATGATTTACCTTGATCTTTGTACACTAATATGGTAGTTTTAATTCAAAAATAAATACTCAAGCAAAAATATTGGGGTCCAATTCTGGAGTAACACCCAGAGAAAACTCTATAGACAAAGTGAGAAAGTACACACATCACTTTAGTTTCCTTTCCCACTTCTTCAGTGTTTGGGGTTTTTTTTCAAAGAAATGTTTCTGATAAATGCCAATTCCTGAAAACTATTGTCCTGCCTATGAAATCATGGGAGAGATGTCCCTAATTTTATTCTGTGGGCCACAGCTCTCTGAGCACCTTGTGAACACGTGTGAAACACCAGCCTCCATTCACCTTTGTCACAGCTGCCAGCAGCATCCCAAGCGTAGGTACTCTACAAAATGTTTGTTGGACTGCTCTTTCACATCCCTCTTGTGAGTGTGCTCTCTCTAGTGCTGCTATACAGTTGCCTAAATTACACTGTCAGTCTCTCCAGCTGGTGAAGTAGCTCAGGTTTTAAAAATTATTCATCTCACCTTCACCTTCTCCCTGAACACAGTATCCTGCCTGGAGGGACATGATGGTTTCGATCAAATATGTTGCTGCGACTCATGTAGGCAGTGCCCAAGTTAATTTTAAATTAGCCAGTATAGGACACTGATAACAGTACACTTGGCAGCACTTCTTGCCAGACTCACCCAGGAAGCATAAATATTTGAACATAAAGAGCCTCTAAGCCTGCTCTTGCTATGCTGTTAAGATATCCTGGATTAAATATTTTAAAGCCAGGTTGCCTAGGATAAAATCATGGTTGCTTCCATGGCAGCATGGAGGCCCTCTGGAAGCCTCCATGCAGCCATGTACATATGTTAGAAATGAAGGAGAAGGCTCTGAGCTACCTCTGGAGGCATCACTGCCCATGGCATCAAGACTGTATACTATGGTGCTGCCAGTGAGAACTGGGATGAATGGAATAACCAGTGCTCTGTGATTACTGCGGTATTCAGGAAAGGCATAAGGCCTGAAAAACTAGGATCAAGGCCATGATGGATCTCATATCAAAACTCTGTGGAGCACTGACTGAATGCCAGGCTGATGCCTGGCTTCTGGATCACCAGGGATGCTGCTGCCAGTGCCATTCTTTTCCCTTCTTACCTTGGCTTTATATTCTCCTCCTGCACCAGAAGGTGAGTAACCTTCTTATAAATAGAAATTTACATTTGGCACAACTGCAAATAGATATTTTGAAAATGGATCAGCCAAAATGCATATATAAAAATGAGAGAAAAAAATCTATATATGTTATAAAATATCTGCTGACACACTTTAAGGACATTGTTCGCAGTTTATTTCAAGGAGTTAAACTCTCAAAGAAGCACACATAGTGGAAGGCACCAAACACCATCAGAAAGGGAGTGGGTGTCCTTCAGATCAGATGCTGACAAAATATTGGCTGCAACTCCAGGAAAGTCTCTTTTCTCCCCTTTCTAGCCTCGTAACACTGGTCTTTCTCCAGTACCATCAGACAAAAAATTGATGGTTATGTACTTTAAGCTATGTGTAGATAAAACCCGTAGTAAAAATGCAATATATTTTTAGTATTATTTTTATTTCCTTTCTTTGCATGATAAAATACCTCAAACACCAAAGTGACTTACAAAGAATACACATACCATCTCAATAGAAAAATGCATATAAAGAAAGGAGGCCCACACTTGTTAAATGGGATTTTCTCTCTAAGAAAAATAAACATGGAAGATTTTACTTGGAGATTTATAAAGTGCTGGTGTACAAACTGGAGGCTTGTATGGAAATGGCAGACTATTTGGCCCAAGTACAAATACATATTTTGAAAACTAATCAGCCAAAAGACATATATCAAACCTAGAGCTAAAAATATTTATATGCTTAATGGCTCTTGGGATTAGGCATCTCCATATTATTGAAACCCAAAAATTATGCTAAATCAACTAGAGATACACATCAACCACCAAACAAAGTTTTAACTGGGCTAGAGATACAGCCATAAGAAAAAGGTACAAGACAACATAGGCTGGATTCCTCCTTCAGTTCTATCTGTGCAATTCTGTTAGATAATAGAGAATTTATTTTCCCGGTTTATAAAGAAACAAGTAGGGAAATATTTTAATCCAACATCTTTGTGTTTCTACAAGATTTCCTTGAACACTAGATTGTGAAGTACTCAGGACTGTGACAGTTCTAACTGTCTTTTTGGATAGTTGACAGCTTCCCAGACCTTTCAAGTACTATGGAAATGCCATTTCAGGGAGAAATAAAATATTGTGAGGGTGCTTGTGGTGGCAAGCAGTAAAGTGAAGGTGCAGCAAGAGAAGAGTCTGTAGGATGTCTGTGGCCAACAGTCCCGCAAGCAGCTGCCTTGGGTTTGGTAGGCAAGGGTTTTGTGCTTTCAAATTTTATGTTGTGCTTGTGTCAAGGGGAGTGCTTTTCACTTTCACACATTTGGCAAAATAATTAATGAAAATAATTATATATGGATCAGTGGGCCCAAACTTTGAGAACTAAGAGTGAGAAACCTTTATTAACCAATTACTTCAGAAATTTAAGTTAGTGGCTATATAGTTGTATGATCAAGCCTTCAGCTCCTCTGTCATAGCAGTATATCTGCATATATATATCTGTGAGAGCAATATACAAAAAGTATAAACACACAGAAAGTCACTAGTTAAAGCTTACTGAAATGAAAAAGTAGGTGTCATTGTTATTAATAACATTTATGTATTTACATAGAAATTATTAATAATAATTTGGACAGCATGATGATGGGCAACATTTAATATTTTTTGCTTGGAAAGGGATTTATAATGGTTTCACATGGATTTTAAGCATCTGTTCTAGTTAGGTCTAAGGGAGCTCTCACTGAGAGGAATGAGATTGTCAGCCAGGGGTTCTTGTCCTGGGATGGTGGGGGCATACACCATTATATTATAAGAGTAGACCCACAGAGCCCTGGAAAGTGCAAAATTCTCCTTTCAACTACAAATCACAAAAAAAATATCTCTGGTTATTGAATTTCGTTTCTTGTTTCCACCTTAAATTATCCAGGACAAAGTTGGACAAAATTAGCAAAACTTTGAAATTGATTTTGGACCAGTGTATTGTGAACTTGGGTTAGATTAAGTTTTATAAGGAAGCTGTTTAAAACGCAGCATTTTTCCCTGATGAAATCAAAGGAAATAGAATGGAGCAATACACAGAAAAATGTCATCCTAGTACTGTGTGGCAGTAAATCTGTACTGTGTCTTGCAATAACTTTTGTATTTGTCTGTGTGAAAGAAACCAAATCCAGAACCACTGTACTTTTCCATTATTTTGGGGGGGAAGGGGGGGGAGGGGTATCCCTTACTTCTCTCTAATTTTTCATTTGGATGGAGAGATGCTCTAAGGATGGGGACCAGAGAGCCCCACCATACCACAGAGTTGATGTGGGCTAAAAGCACCTCGACAGCCTGAAAACATGAGTGCCACAGCATTGCATAAAAGTCAAAGTCAGTGCTGTTTGCATTTTCTACTGCTCAGTACCAATTCCCATGAAAAAAGTGTCTGGGAAGGGGCTGACTCTTGTGTCAGGAGAATTTTTACTGTGGCTTGAGGTCTGTTTCCTTTCAGAACATTTTATGCATCAGGAAAGATAGTGTCTAATGCTTGGGTTTGCTTCTGAACATATATTCCTGTGATGCCAGAAGAATTACAGTCTATTTTTTTTTCCGCTATAGAAGTGAGGTGTTTGTGTGCCTCAGTGTGGGCAGCTGGGAATGTGAGGGAATGGGTGAGATTCATCAGTAGTACCAAAACATATCCACTGCTTTTATAACACTGAAAAATTAATAAGCCAAAATATAAACAAAATCGGAGGGAAAATCTTTGTTATTCTGCTTTGTCTTTTCAAACTGAGAATAAAAATGACACTGAGAAAACTGTTTCTTATCCTTTACAAAAAGCTTAGTTAACAAGCCTGTTTAAGCAAAGAGAATAGAAATCAGGTATTGTGGTAATTTGTGGTTTTGCAAAGGTTTTTAATTAAAGTATGAAACAAAACATTCATCTTTGTTAAATATAGCCTCACATTTTTCAGTCCCAGGCTCAATTTAAATATACATCACATTTTGGTGAACTTTAACATGGTGATTTTTTTATTGAGTGATTTACTACTGATTCTTTTATCCTAAAAAAGATACAAAAGCATGGAAAAAGAATTCTTTGGGCAACTTTGTGTAGCTTCTTGCTTAGCAATGACTGTCATTTACTTTCTAGGAGTTCAAAAGTTGGTTCTTCTTAGCCCAGATGAAACTACCCATATATTATTCCCATGTTAATTATGTACAGAAAAGGAAACTTCCTTAATCTGTCTGCCACAATAGGTCTTTCTGGAG